TTCTTTATATATTTTGGAAATTAAACCTTTGTTGGAGGAGCTACTATTCACAAATATCATCTCCCATCTGGTTGGTTGTCTCTTTGTTTTGTTGTCCATTTCTTTTGCTGTGCAGAAGCTCTTCAGTTTGATATAGCCCCATTCATTTATTTTTGCCTTTGGGGTCAATTCTATAAAATGTTCTTTATGGCCCAGGTCCATAAGTTTGGTACCTATATTTTCTTCTATGTAACTTATAGTTTCATGTCTTATGTTTAGGTCTTTGATCCATGTTGAATTAATTTTTGTACATGGGGACAAACTGTAATCCAGTTTCATTCATTTGCATGTGGCTTTCCAGTTTTTCCAGCACCAATTATTGAAAACCCTATCTTTACTTCAGGCTCCTTTGTTGAAAATTATCTGTCCATGTACATGTGGTTTTATAGCTGGGCTTTCTATTCTGTTCCATAGATCTGTGTGCCTGTTTCTCTACCAATACCATGCTATTTTCAGTTTCACTCTGGAGTATAATTTGAACTCAGGTAACATGATACTTCTAGTTTTGTTCTTATTTTTTCAGGGTCTTTTTTTGTTTCCATACAAATCTGATGATTTCTTGTTCTATTTCTTTTAAAAAAATTACATTGGGATTTTGATGCGAATTGCATTAAACTTGTATATTGCTTTGGATACTATGCCCGTTTTAACTATGCTTATTCTTCCAAATCAAGAACATGGGATATTTTTTCCATTTTGTTATGTATTTTTCAATCTCTTTTAATAATGTTTTGTAATTTTCAGAATATAGGTCTTTCACATCCTTTGTTAAGTCATTTTCCACTTTTCACATCAACACATCCTGCGTTTTTCTCTTCCTCCTCAGATTTGCCTTTTTACTGAGAGGATCCAGGTCACCACCCTCCATCTCTTATCAACTAGTACATGTATTGTGAAGTAGCCTCTAAAATATTTTACCTGTCACTATACTCTCCCCCCTACCTAATTCTTCCTTCATCTGCTATGAGATGAATGTTCCAGCATCTCTCCCATCCATACTTTATTATACTCTCACACGGCTTTCTCCTCTTGGTATCCAAATGAGGGCAGTTAGGGGCAATCGGGCCAGCAGGGGAGTAGTTAGGCATCGATCAGGCTGGCAGGCAGAAGCGGTTAGGGGCAATCAGGCAGGCAGGCAGTCAAGCAGTTGGGAGCCAGCAGTCCCAGATTGTGAGAGGGACATCCCTCGAGGGGTCCCAGATTGGAGAGGTTACAGGCTAGGGTAAGGGACACACCCTCCCATGCACAAATTTTGTGCACCAGGCCTTTAGTTTTCAGATAATAGGACTTGCTTAGTTTCTCAACAGTCTTCACATGTGCTATTCTCTGCAATTGGGAAAGCACCATACTTCACCACTGGTCCCTCAATTCCAAACTTATCTCTTGTTCAAGAGTGAATAATCCCAGCTTCCTTGTCTACTCTGCATATGTAATATTAAATTTCCTATGCTAGGATATGGTTTTCAAATAATGCTTTATTAATGCATATGATGTGTAAACTATTCAAAAACAGGGACTTCAATTTAAAAATAATTATATTATACTTTATGTAGTGGACATTATACAGTGTTACTCAATAAATATTCATGATTGCCATTAGTACCATCTGGAGAAAATGTGTTTGATCAAAAAATAGTGATCACTTGAGAAGACAAGTTTAGATGGCTATAGGTTCTGATCTCACAGGAATAATATAGAGTGTTGAATAACCTTCTTAAATTGCCTATTACTGATTTCAGTTCTAAAAAAGATAACTTTGAAATGAAAGTATTTGAAGCAAATGATTATTGTTTACCAAGCAACCCCATACATTCATCAGAGAGCATTAATGTCCAACACTGAGACCTCCTATCAAACATCTTAGAACAAAAATGCATGAGTAATAGAGAAATTTGAGCCAGACTATTTTCAACATTAAATTCTCTCTCAGAAAACAGCAACAAAAATTACAAATTTTCAAACTTTACTGGTCACTAAGGAACTATTTTCTGTCTTAACATTACTTTGGTTTTATCAATTCACTACCACGCCTTGGGAAATAAATATAAGAATGTAAAGATTTATATGCACAATTTTCACGATATTTTCCTTGGTCATTACTTGATTTTTAGGAAACACCAACCAATTTATTTAAAAGTGCCAAAGGGCAGTAAATGCTTGAAACTGGTAGTTCTATGCTCTTGTAAGGCTTTTAGTTATCAAGTGTGTCAGTGAGTTTCTTTCCTTCTCTTGGAAGAACTTCATTCTTTCTCACTCCTGCCATTTTCCAACTTGTTACAGAATTAATTTATAGGATAGTACTTATTTGCATGTCCTTTTGAAACTCTTCCATAAACTTCTCTTTCACAACTTAACTGTTTATCTTCTCATTGCAGCCTGGTTCCTGATTTTAATCCCCACAGTGCTATCTACCAATCCTCAAACAAAGTATTGTCTTTTAACATGATGCTACCTTAGATTCAAGCTTTATGAGAATTCCTTAAGTGCCTTTGTACCCATTTGTTAAGTTAAAGTACTTGAAAGCTAAACAGCTTTGGAACTAATTGAATTATGGCTTAGAGTGGGTCGAGGAGAGATGCCTTCTTACTTCGATTTAAGAACTACCCAGCTACCTTTGAGTCTCAATATTTAGATTGGAGCTCCATAGATTACCAAACCTGCCAGATTTTGTATTTGGCAAATTAAAACCATTTACATGTTGCCCATCTCCCTGAGCATTGAGTTGTGAATTTCTCATTTGTCTCATAATTTCAGATATTTTTTTTAGAAAACTTTACCTTAAAATAGCCTAAAGTTTAAACTATGTATGCTGTTGGTGGAATGAGCTAAATCAATTTGTTATGAATTTATGAGAACTAGTTGTGTCAACATTTTTCTAAATTTTCACAATCTATTTCAATGAAAAATTGAGAAGAAAAATTTTCTCACTGTGAAAGAAACTGATAGAGTACATCTTGTTCTATACAAAATACTTATTACACCATTATGGGCTATATATTTTAAAAATCTCAGATGAAAATCAAATTTTGAATTACTATCTAGAAATAAACTTTTATAGATAGTATATACACTGGTTTCTGAAAATGATAGAAAAGGTTTCTTGTCAAGTTCACCAGCACAAGTGTGAATGCTCTGTTTTTTAGTACATACTAGTTGTGAAAGGACACATTGTGGCCAGCCAACTCAAATTGCTACCCACGTTTAATCATTGTAAATAAAGGAAGCAGAGAGACCCATGTTATATTTTCAGAACTGGCATGCTCAATACAGAACGATTAGTTTAAAAATACTACTTAACATTCTATTTGAATTTATCTAGACTTCTGTGTAAAACAAAATAATAAAAAGTACAATTGGTCACTTAAACATATAGTACTCATTCCATGCAAGTTATTAACTTAGTAATTACACATATCATTAAAGAACAATGAGAGCAAATACAACTTGATAATGCTTGGGAAACAGTTAAGTACTAATAAATTTCCATTTTGAAAAACCTATAGTTTTTACAGAAGCAAAATCACCTTTCTCAGTATGAAACACCTGTATGTTTTGAATAGGACTTTTCAAAGAAACAACTAATTGTCTCACTGTGGAATGAACATGTACCCCTGCTGAGTGTTCACATACTCGTGGTGCATAATGTATTTCTTTAACAGCTTGATATAGTAAAGCAACAGAGAAGCAAGTACTTTGAACCCATGGACCACAGGAGTTGATAATATAAAGAGATTGAAAAAATAATAAAAACATTATCTAATGTTCTCTTATACATTTGAGTTTTAGCTACATGGGTGGGCAAATTAATTTTTACACACTGTGTACATTTGTCCTTGCTTATATTTTTTTTCAAAACATGATTTAAGAAATATTTCCAAAATGCCAGAATGAACCTTGGTTAACAATTGACCCTCATGGGCATTTTGGTGCAGAACACACCAAAATGGATTAATTGGAAAGAATATAAAGTAGTAATCCACAACAAATATGAAAATAGGGGAACATTCCTTACAGAAAATTCATAATATTTTAGATTATTCACAGGGATTTTCTGGTGGAGTACAGTCACAGTCACAATGTGAGGATGGAGAAGTTTATCTACAAGATATACTCTTTGAAGCACCAGGAATAGAGATAATTCTACAGGAACCTTACACATATCACCAAGCAGATATTGTATATGTACAGAATAGTGTATTTCACAACTACATTTTAGATAAGAATCACTGCAATTGCTGCTCTACCACCAGTAAACTTGAATTATTTAGCACTTCATCTGTGATTATTGGTGTTTTACTTCTTTTGTATTGCTGACATGTGCAGTCAGTATTTATTTAAATTCAAACTTCAATAACACTGATAAAAGTAGGAAGATACTCACATCTTCTCATAAAGCTTATAGAAGGTTGATAGATTATTTGGGGGGAATCCAAATGTGAATTTGTTAGCAAACAATAAAATACACACTTTAAAATGTGTTTCAATTTTTTAAAACTTTTAAAATAGGCGTTAGAAAGTCATAAGGTTGTTCAAAATCATTCTAAAAGAGCTGACAACATATCTATTCAGTTGCTTAAGAAATGCATGTTGTTTACCTACAAGTTTGCCTACGGAATATGTACTTGCTTAATAAAACTATGTCACAACTATCTTTATGATCTATTGATTTAGTCTACAAAAATTGTCCATTATGTTGAAGAAGTTCTAATTGCTTCGATCACATTTTTCATTAACTGATCTTCCTCTGCAAGCAGTCTTCCAATTTGAGTGCCTCAACACTTCTTTCTTGATAATTACTAATTTTCAGCTAATCTATAATAGTTCTTTCATTTTAAAGGTAGTGCAGAATTTTCAAATTCAGTAAAAGTCTTTAAATTTTCCCTGTTTCAAATATCACACCGATAGTGAAATATTCATAAATATGTCAAAGGTAGATCATCTACTAAGCTTGCAGTTCAAGTGGCATCATAAAACCTACTCTAAAACAATAGGAGTAACATTTTCCAGGAGAAATTAAAACTGTAAATTGGAACAAGGTACCATACCACAAAAGCAGGTCTTTCTTCCCCCAGTATTCTGGGAATGCATACAAAAATTGAAGTACAAAAGCAATTTCTGTGCCTTTTTCTTCCAACACTTTTTCAGCACCTCAATGTTAGGTGTACTTTATGCTTGTTATACCATAAATTTTCCATGGCTTTTCTCAGTATGTCAGATTCTTCACTACCAAATATCACTGGTGAAGCTAAGCTCTTTGGATGATAGCGGTAGCATGGAACTGTTTCTGTGAAATTCCTGGGTATCTTTCAGGGAATTATTAAGGGGTAGTTGTCCATTGAGTAGCTTCAGAGGCAGGTTACAGTAAGTGTGGTGGTTGCTTAAGGAAGGTACAGAAAAGGTGGTTGTTGGCATCTCGTGTTTATAACTTCTGCAACAGTGCCTCATTTGCATCGAATCTGAATGGTGGAATTCAGGGACATCAGCTTGAGATGATACCAGAGAGGCTGAGGTACTGGTCATGGCAATAGAGGGTATAGGTTGGAGTTCTCCAAAAAGTCCTTGTTCTGCAGAGTCCATAATCTGGCATCGAGAAAGTACTTCCTTTTTCCTGATGGGCATTTCATATACTAAGTGCTTCCAAAACTTAGAATTTAATTTGCTGCTTTTGGGTCCCTTCCACTTGATAAGTGACAGAAGTTTGATGCTGTGCTTTAGTGATTCCACTTCCTGGCAATTCACCTTCCCCTTTAATTCTGTACACTCAATCAAGATCACTTTGATTTCCCCACTGACTAGCATGTTATGGAGTCTGTTTTCCAATTCAAAAATACTCCATCCTCGTCTGAGAATATAGTTTGATGTTAGCACGATAATAAGTCTTCTGCTTTGCTCAACACATCTTGTGAGATCTTCAATGTAAGCTAAAAATCACAGAAAGAGAGAAAGAGTAAAAAAAAGACATTTCCAGTTTTTAAAGCATTAGGTTTGCACTTTAGAATAGTAAAGATCCAGTCTTTCACTAATGCACATCATATTTTCTTTTGTTGTATTGAACATTCAGAAAGCCTATTTTCTTAAAAAGAAAAATGAAAAACATACAAACAAACAAACAAAAACAAACACCTGCTTAGCCCTGGCCAGTGTTGTTCCATTTCAGCATTTCCCTGTACACTGAAAGGTGGCAGGTTTCATTCCTAGTCAGGTCACATACCCAGGTTGTGGGTTTGATCCTTGGTTGGGACATGTATGAGAGGCAACTGATCAATGTTTCTCTCTCACATCAATGTTTCTCTTTCTCCCTTCTTCTCTCTATTAAAAAAAATGTTTAAAATACTAATTTTTTTGCCCTTCATTACTTACGGTGTTTTGTTGGTGAATATTAAATCTGATTTCTTCAGAGCTTAGGCATATTTCAGTTATTTTTATTTATTTGATAATTTAAAGCAGGCTTCCAGGCTTATACTCTAAGTAAACAAGCAATCAATCAGTTGATGAAAGCAAAAATGGAACTTTTTAATGACTGAAGAGTCACTTGTATTTATGGGTTTTGTTTGCTTTTCCCCCTATTTTTTAACTGCAAAACAAGTAAGAGGGGGCCTATGGATATGAACTACTTCAAACATACTGTAACAGAAATGGTGGAAAATCTTCAGGAATCATAGCTTGTTTCTCAGAATACTTTCTGTTACTTGCAACTTTAGGTTCTCCATTTTGCCCTTAAAATCCAGAGATAGGGAAGCGGTATGCATGGGCCCATGAATTTTGAGCCAGCTGCTCTTTTTTCAGAGGAAGAGAGAGTGCTGGAGTTGAAAGTGACGGGTGGTGTGGAATGCGCAGGAACCGAAGAAGAGTCAACTAAGAAGAAAGTTTTAGTGCCCTTTGTGGAGCAATTCTGAGAGTGATGTGAATATGTTATGGCCTTTCCATGGTAGAAAAACAACTTGAAAATTATACCATGGAATAATCCTTTTGCAAGCATCCTCCGAAAATCTTATCCGCCAAAAGGGGAAACACACACATGTGTTAACAAATGGAGACTTGGACGCAGGTGCTACAACAGAGAGCTGTCTTTACTAAGCAGAGCACAAGGTCTTGTCTAATGTGCAGTGTCCTCTAGCAGAAACAGTGCTTATAGAAGCATAGCAACATTTGTCACTGTAAATCTGTCCAAGGTTACAGGCTGCTTTCAAAGAGTCACGTCCAGTGCATAGTGTACAGCCCAGTATAAGCCATTTGAAAAGAGAAACTTATTTTACAGATGCATACTTTACAGATTCTCTCTCTTTCCCAGTGTTTATTTCCACCACTTGGCAGCAAAAACACTTTCACAAGTGAAAATGAGCAAACATTTTACACACCCTACAGATAAGCAAGGAACTTTTAAAGAGATACACATAGAATTGCCCATTTTCAATTAATTGTTACTGCTGTTTGGTTTTTTACTTAATACATTTTAGCACTTTCTTATGCGGTAGTTACAATGACTGTATCTGAGAGGATAAAGCCACTACTAAGTGGGAAAAGAACCTCTTAAGAATTATAAGCATTTTATTTAAGCATTTTATTTTAGAGATTGTGTATTCAGGGAGAAATCAGCATTAAAATCTGCAAATAGTAAAAACAAAACAAAAGAACAAAACAAAAACAGTATACAAGTAGCAACAGGAAAGTTGTCACTCAGTAATTATCATTTAGAGAACTGGTGAAACAGAAAGGAAGGCAAGATAAAAAGTTTCACTAAAATGGAAAAAATATTATCCCAATGCATCAACATCTCTGACTCTTCATTTTATTCCTTTCTTCCTGCTCCCAAAAAGAAAGAAGTTATGTGGGAAGCTTCATCATTAGAAGTTGGATCTGTAAGATACAGTAAAATAAACTATCATGCATCTTTCCCATTATTCTTTTCACCTTTCCTTCAAACAACAACAAAAAACACAAAACCAAACCCAGAATTATGGTATAAGTGCAGGAGTCCATGAAAAGACAGTTTTACCAGGTAAATTATGAGTTAATGGTTAATTTTATAGAAGACTCCTTTAAAAATAATTTACCAAGGAGTTATTCTGAATAGTGTTCTTCCATCATTAATTGCAGTTTTTCATTTAATTTTTTAAACTGTCTGTACAAACCTCTGTAACATAAACTATACCTCTCTGAATCACATCTCCTTGCCTCCAAGGAAAGCACTGTTTCTATATGTTGAGATGTAGTTTAATTTACTTTTTAATTACCAGTATACTTTTAAAAACAAAAGATTATATACATATATCCACCACTTAAAGAAAAAAACACAACCCAGGTTTTCACAGTAATTAGAGCAAATATTCACATGTATAGTAATTAATTTTATTGGTAAATCATTAACTTTGGCTTCGCTATCCTCTTTCTCAAATGGGGAATTGAACATGGTATAATTTCCCCCCATTAATACGGTTATTCCTTCACCTATTATATTTTTACATTTGACAGCTAAGGATAATGCAACATTTAGGTTTTTTTTCCGGGGGGGGGGGGGGGCTTTTGAGACTCATTAGACAGAAATTGCTTTTGCTCCAAGAATGAATGCCTGTGAGGACAGATCCCACTATGCTCAGCTGCACAGGGTGTGGGTGTTGAAGGAAACCTTGGAGAGAGGGAGTGGTCCCTGTCTCCTGCATACTACTCTTGCTGTGCTTATACTGGCAAAGCCTAGTGGAGAGTTGAGGCAACCATCCAGATTATTCCGGCTGCAAACCTCCTGTGGAAGAAAAAAGGTCTGAATTATCCTGGTTTGCCCTATATATACATTAATCAAATGCACTGGAATCAGTCAGTTAGTACCTCAAAATTTTCCCTGAGTAGACACAGCCGAAATGTCCCAAAGAAAACATGAGCGATTTGCTTGGGCCCTGAATTTCATGTTCCATTTCACTTGGTGAAAAACCAAGTGGAAGTTTTCAGATGTGAAGCCCACATTTCACTTCTTGGGATGGTGATCAGTGGCTGGGCAGCAATCTCAGTGTTTGAAAGCAGCTGGGGAGGTGCCTCCAAGATCTGCCTGGCTCTCAGGAAAAGAAGAGACTGTGCCCTAGCTTCCATATTCTGGCTCTCCCTCTGTTTTTCACTCTGCTTTCTTTCTCACTCTTTCTGCCTTTCCCTCTTTTACTCTCTTTTTCTCTCTTGCTTATCTCCCTTTGCCCCTTCCTCCTTCCCTTTCCTTCCTAAGTCTTTCTTTCCTTCCCTTTATCTTTCTAAAAAAGAACTTAGCTAGCATGGGAAATAAAAAGTAAATTAACAAGAGGTAGAGTTAATATTTTTCACTTGCTAATCTTTAGCCAAGGAATTGTTGCTGGCTTCTACTTAGCAAGTGCCCATAATAATTTCCTCCTTACCTCGGGGTTGCATGTCTGCTTCCAATGACCGAATTGGAGCCTAATCCATTAGGATTATGTCCTGCTTTTGTATGGCTTGTGAGTTAAGAATGATTTTTAAACATGTTTAAAGTGTTGTAAAAGAAGAAAAATAAGAATATGATGTAACAGAGACCATATATAACCCACAAAACCTAAAATATTTACTATCTGGATCTTTACAGAGAAAGTTTGCTGTTCCTGAATTAGAGATCAATCGGGGTGTGTAGGCTTGGAAAAGTTCCAAATAAGCCAAGCAAAAAGGTGTATCGAGTTAAGAAATTGGTCATCCATGGCTAGTGTGGTTTCTGACAGGCAATAGTGTTACCCACGGGCTGTGGCTTTGTTAGAAATGTTTTAGAAACCTCCAGAGACCATTTTAGAAAGCTTATTATCATGAAGAAATTATAAAGAAACGCCTGCCCCTCAAAAAATTAAATCCACAGCACATATGAATATTCGCTATACCTTGCCCTGAGTTATTCGGGCAAATTTAGCAACTGAGTAACAGGAATCTTTTAAAATACTCTTTTTTTTCGCCGGAACCGGTTTGGCTCAGTGGATAGAGCGTCGGCTTGCGGACTGAGGGGTCCCAGGTTCGATTCCGGTCGGGGGCATGTGCCTGGGTTGCGGGCGCATCCCCAGTGGGAGATGTGCAGGAGGCAGCTGATTGATGTTTCTCTCTCATCGATGTTTCAAACTTTCTATATCTCTCACTTCCTCTCTGTAAAAAATCAATAAAATATATTAAAAAAATAAAATACTCTTTTTTTCTACAAAAATATATAATATTCCTTAAATTAAAGGTCATTACTTCTTCACAAATTTTAAAGTAACTTACAATGACAGACTAAACTAAAGGGGATTGTGTCTAATAGCCTCCTGCTTCTCTAGACAAGGCTGTGAAACCACACCAGATTATCAGACATTAAACAAAGCTAATTACACTTAACTTATTTGTGATCTTCATAATTTGGTAAAGAAAAAAATTCTCTTTGATAAGTTTTCTTAAGTTGGTATAAATTCATTTTTCACATTTAAGTGCACCTTCAACGAATCTTTTACTTTTATATATACTGTTCCTTTTGACAGGAAGTTAGAAAAAATATTTTAGAAAAAAAATGCACTGTCACTATGCATTGTCCTTAGGATGTATATCTATTAGAGAAGTGAAGAAATAATATGTAGTAGCACCAGTGTTTGTAAGAAACAAGAAAAGTGACTACCTAAAACCGTATCAAAAACAAATTCAATTTTAAAATCACTTCCAGGGATTGTTGAATAAAATTCCAGTGCATTTATTTAGAAAAGTAGGATTAGATATATAAAAGTGAATTGAAAATAGGACAGTTATTAACAAAGCAAAAAATATACTATATGATGAAATACAGAAACAAAATTGAAGCAGACATAATGGCAGGCCCAATAAATTTTTCTAATGGGATATATATACTTTTCCAAAAGAACTCAGTATACCCCTAAATCTCAGGCTCTGAATCTGCTGCAGATATAGGCAGAAAGACAAGTGA